CACACACACACATACACACACACACACTCCCCTCCCACCAGCCCCCCCTTTTTTTTCACATCTCACTACCAGACAAAACCCAGAGCATTGAGACTGACTGGGGTTTCTTTATGGCACTTACTACTTCAACCTCTTCCGCAACTAACTTCGCAGAGAGTTGGTTAGTTAGTTAGTTAGTTAGTTAGTTAGTTAGTTAGTTAGTTAGTTAGTTAGTTAATGAGCGAGTAAGTTAGTTACTACAATTCAGCATTGAGAAACCTGGGGGAGTGTACCTTCTTTTGAATGAGACCGTCTTCCTCCATCCCCCACCCACCCCCCCCAAAAAAGTGGGCTTTTTATTTTAAATCCTTATGGCATCACACATGTTTCTTAGCTTAGTGTGGTTGTCAAAAGTAGACTTTTGGGTCTGTTTTGTGTGCTTTTTCTCTTCTCTCTTCTCTCTCCCCCCCTTACCCCCAAACCCCCCCAACCTCTCTCCCCACTTTGTAAAGCGCATTTTTCACATTACTCAACTCGGCTGTTCTTGTCTATATTATATTACAGGAATAGCTTGGCTTGAAAACCTCTGGTTTCGTTGCGACAACATCTGTACGAGAGAGTCTGAGCAAACGATTCTAATCCAATTACCAGTTCTGGGCAAGGGGTGAGGAAAGGTGGAGAAGAGAGAGAGAAAAATTTTTACTTTTTAATAGCACTACATTTCTTTACACAAATCTGCTGTATTTAGCAATATAGACCCCCCACCCCCACCCCGGCCCAAACACACACATTAAAAAAAACAAGATTACATTTGTATAGCGCCTTTCGCATCGGAAGGACGTCCCAAGGTGCTGGGACACATACACATAAAAGTAGCTTCAACTCAGTCCCAATACTAAGGAATTAAGAGGAATGCACGCTCCTTGTTGGAATTATTACTCATCCAGATGTTTACTTGTCATTAATGCACTTTGGATTTCATTTGAGCTAACCCATTCTTTTTGCAAATTGGTTGTTTTTTTTGTTGGCTTAAATTAAATGAAAACGGTTTGCAAGGTGCCAGTTATGGGGTGTGAATAAAGTTACCCAGAAAGATTTCAGTTCTTAATTATTTCTCAACCAACAAAGTTTTCCCAGTGCTTGCGGCCAAAGGCGGGGGTGAAATAAAACCAGCTTTTAATTTAGTTGCATTTCAGTTCACTTCCCACCATCATCAACAACTGAAGGAGATTAATTAATATCTCTGCAAGTGGAAATTGAATCCCACACTCATTGTGCTCATTCCCTATAACGCAAAATAATTAGTTGATTTTAATGGGGTGGTGGGGGGGGGGTAAAAATAAAATGCAACAGTGTTATACCTGGAAAGTCAGGATATATCAAATTATAGGTGTTCATTAAAAGCTGCTCCCGCAGTTCCTTACCGCCAGAGAAACACGGGCGATGTACTATCATTTTTTTTTAACTTTCATATTAAAAAGATGCTGAAATGCCTGTGTGGGGATAACTTGAATATTTTAAGACATAAGAACATGTTTAATATGATCAATGTCCTTTAACAATGGCACATGTACAGTCTTTCAAAGGAAATTGGCTCACGTTCAGTTTGTGCCAATGTTCAGTCAAAGGTAGAATTCCCTCAGTTGTCAATTTCAGTTGCCAGTATTTGTGAAGTCGTGGAGCTTAGTGGTTAGAGCACTCACTTCACAAGCGAGGGAACCTGGGTTCGATTCCCAGGCCGGGTGAAACTTTAGGCAGGTTTCCTTACTTCATACGCCTCTAGTAAAATCGATTGGGGGAATCGTTTTTCGGGGAGTAACAATCCCCCCAAAAAAAATAATAATAATTTGGTCACACAATCCATGATTGTCTGTGGGCCACTGCTGTGCATAATTGGCTGCCATGTTTCATCCACAAAATATGCAGTCAGTCCAATTTACAGTATATTCTGTGAAGTATTTTGAGATATCAAATTCAAGATTATTATTATTATTTAATTCCAATGTTTATGCCGTTTGCAAATGCAGTCAGTCGTAATTTTGGATACCTTATTGGACAGTAATGTATATTACTGTTTGAGAGGCAGTATTTGTATCCAGTTTCATTACTCCAGCATAAAATAAGCAACACCGCTAATGCTTGTTTATGTACCAGCTGAAAACATAAATGGCAGCAGTTTAATGTCGCACTGTTTATTTAGCGATACATCTGTTTGTACACCTGCATTTAAACATTTGCAGTCTGATTAAACGTTAAGGAATTGTAAACGTTTTTATAATATATACATGCTGCACGCTTGTTATCATAAACATCATGAGAAAATAATTTAAATTGTTTGCCTGGATATGTACAGAGGAAACATGGTGCATCATTAACAAGAAGGTGTTATGTATGTGGGGACCATGGGACTGATATGTACAGTACATTATACATTTAATATTTATTATGAATTGCCCTAATTAATAACTAGATTAGGTCTATTCATTTAGATGACATGGGAAATTGCCTTTAAGCACTCAGGAGAAAAAATCAGGCTGTGTTTTACAATTTGTCAAATTAAAGACGCACTGAAATGTTAATTAAACTAGAGTAAATCTAGTCCCAGTTGAAATTTAAAGCTCGTCAGTTGAAGTGGACAATTACTGAATGGATCTGTGTAATCATAAAGGAGAGAGTGGATGTTTTTACACAGTTGGTTCTGGTGGATCATGTGCAATGCTAGAAGTCTGTACCAAATGCAAGAATTATTAATAAGTAATTGTTTTATAAACACAGTGGAGATAACCTTCAATCATTGACCTTTATTAAAAAAAATTAAGCTTGAAGAGCAGCATCGATTTCAAGCAGCAAAGTGAACTTTGAATGTTTACAACTATTATGAAGTAAACCTCACAGCGTC